AGGAAGGGAGGGAGGGAGGGAAAGAGAAACAAGAAAGAAAAAAGAAAGAGAGAAAGAAAGAAAGAAGGAAAGAAAGAGAGAGAGAAAGAAAAAGAAAGAAAGAAAGAGAGAGACAGAAAGACAAAGAGAAATCGATCACATTGCTTCCAACATAGATCCACACCCTTAGAGCTCTCTTTAGGGGCCCTCAGTCTCTCCGCATCTCTCTGATGAGTTGGATCCATGCAGAGGAAATGTCCACCCTCTGCAATCCTGCAATCAGGACCAACTGTCACTTTATACTCCACTAACCACCCTTGGAGCCCCTGCGAGGGACCCATAGGTCAGGAGAGCAATGCCTTTTCTTCCACAGGAGCTCCTACAGGCTTAGTGCCTGGTGGGCCAGGCTTTGGTCCAGGAGTAGTTGGTGTCCCAGGAGCTGGCATTCCAGGTGTCCCAGGTGCTGGGATCCCAGGTGCTGGGGTTCCAGGAGTTGGTGAGCTGGACTGTGTGTGTGTGTGTGTGTGTGTGTGTGTGTGTGTGTGTAAAAGAGAAATACTGAGACTATTGCCGACATTTTACATTTCTCGCTAACACCTCAACAATGTACCTATACCCTTGACAGTGCCTGATTCCCTCGTCTTCTCTTCCTTAGGCCATGACAATCTCCTAATTAGCTCCTAACCTGCGTCATCTTTTCCAATTAAGCTTCTGGCTATCAGTGTTCTCCTGGGGGCAGGAACCATGTCTTTTTCATCTCCATGTTCCTAGCCCTTAGCTAAGTAGGTGCTCAGTTTATGGTGGATAGAAGGGTAGGTGGGTGGATGAATGGGTGGGTGGGTGAGTGGGTGGGTGGATAGAAACATGGGTGAACGGATGTATGCATGGATGGATGGATGGATGGATGGATGGATGAGTAGATGGATGAATGGGTGGATGGATAGGTAAGTGGGTAGATGTGTGGGTAGATGGATGGGTGGGTGGGTGAATGGATGGATAGATGGGTGGGTGGATGGATGGATAGATGGGTGGGTGGATGGATGGATGGATGGATGGGTAGGCGGGTAGATGTGTGGGTAGATGGATGGGTGATGGATGGATGAGTGGATGAATGGGTGGGTGAGTGGATGGATGGATAGATGGGTGAATTGATGGATACATAGATGGATGGATAGATGGATAAGTGGATAGATGAATGGGTGGATGGATGGGTAGGTGATGTGTGGGTAGATGGATGGGTGATGGATGGATGAGTGGATGGATGGGTGGGTGGGTGGATGGTTGTATAGATGGGTGAATGAATGAATGCATGGATGGATGGATAAGTAGATGTATGAATGGGTGGATGGATGGGTAGGTGGGTGGATGTGTGGGTAGATGGATGGGTGATGGATGGATGAGTGTATGTATGGATGGGTGGGTGGATGGATGGATAGATGGGTGAATGGATGGATGCATGGACAGATGGGTGGATGGATAAGTGGATGGATGAACGGGTGGATGGATGGGTAGGTGGGTAGATGTGTGGGTAGATGGATGGATGATGGATGGATGGATGGGTGGGTGGATGGTTGTATAGATGGGTGAATGAATGGATGCATGGATGGATGGATGCATGGATGGATGGATAGGTGGGTGGATGTGTGGGTAGATTGATGGGGGATGGATGGATGAGTGGAAGGATGGGTGGGTGTGTGGATGGATGGATAGATGAGTGAATGAATGGATGCATGGATGGATGGATGGTTGGGTAGGTGGGTGGATGTGTGGGTAGATGGATGGGGGATGGATGGATGGGTGGATGGATGGGGGATGGATGGATGGATGGGAGAATGGATGAATGAATGGATAAATGGGTAGATAGATGGGGGAATGGATAGATGGAAAGCTGGATGAAAGAATGGATGGATAGATGAATGGGTGAAGGAGCACATGATTTTATGAGCAGATGAATAGATGGATGGGAGAAGGGTGGGCAGGTAAATACGAAATGGAGGGTTAGCTAAATCGTTACCTGAATGGCTAGGTAGGCAGATGGGATAAGTTGGTAGATAGATGAGTGCATGAGTGGACAGAGTTAGGTGGTTGGGTGGCAGATTGAGATCCAAGGATAAACAGACAAATGGACAGGTATAGAGGTGGGTCGTTGGGTAGATGGATGATGTGGGTGGCTGGGTAGACAGATGGGCAGGTGGGTGGACATCAGTTCATAAATGGATGTGTAGCCGACCCTATGTTGGCGTAAAGAAGATGGCCCAACACAGATGGGTGGACAGAGGGAGACATACTGAGCAGCAGCCCTCCTCCAACCTCTCCTGAGTATTCGTGTCCCTCTCAGTCTCTCCAGGAGCTGTGTCACCAGCTGCAGCTGCGAAGGCAGCCAAATACGGTGAGTGCCATGCTCACAGCTCTGCCCCACCCTGTCCTGGCCTTTACTTGCCAGAACCAAAGGACCCTCCTCTACTTGCCCAGAGAAGGGGAGTGACTTGCTCAGGGTCGCCCAGCAAGTCACTGGCAGGTCTCAGGACAAGGTCTCCCTCATTTGTCTCCCACCATAGGGCCATGGGGCTGAGTGGCGGGGAAGTCCCAGGATGGCATTCCCAGTGGAGACAGTGACCCTGACCCTCCCTGCTCTGGCCAAGACCCCCTCAGAGGAGCCCAAAACTGCCTGGGGATGTGGATTCTGCCAATAGTCTCTCTGCATCCAACAAAGCGGGTCTTCCCCAAGTGCTCAGAGAGGAGAGGGGCCGGAGGAGGACTGAAGGGTGTCACTTCATGGTGGGGCTGGGCTCAGTGGCTCTCACCTGTAATCCCAGCATTTTGGGAGGCCAAGGTAGGAGGATCGCTTGAGGCCAGGAATTAGAGAGCAGTGTGGGCAAAATAGCAAGACCCTGTCTCTACATAAAATGTAAAAATTAGGCCAGGTGCAGTGGCTCATGCCTGTAATCCCAACACTTTGGGAGGTGGAGGCGGGCAGATCATGAGCTCAAGAGATCGAGACCATACGGGCCAGCATGATGAAACCCCATCTCTACTAAAAACACAAAAATTAGCTGGGCATGGTGGCACACACCTGTAATCCCAGCTACTCTGGAGGCTGAGGCAGAAGAATTGCTCAAACCCAGGAGGTGAAGGTTGCAGTGAGCTGAGATCACACCACAGCACTCCAGCCTGGCAACAGAGCAACCGCCATCTCAAAA